TTCCCCCCAAACAATCTGCGAATCAGAGGCACAGTAGGGCGGGTCTTCGCGGAATGCGGGTGGGAAAAATGTGTGTGTCTCTTTCAACCTGTCTAAGTCAGAGCGAGAATTAAAAAAAAAAAATTCAGAGCGAGAGTTAACAGCTCATCTAGTTCCATCTGTACTGTAGCTAGTAGCCTAGTTTCACCTACCGGGGTGGCAACTGACACCCTAAAAATAGGCCTTGCCACCCCAGCTGCCACCCCAGTTGGCAGCTTTGTTTTGAAAGAAAAGTTGTGGCTCATCGGACATTTATGAGAGAAAGTCTCTAATGTCCGAGTGCAAGTGAATGCAGCACAAGATGCACGTCATGTAACCCCTCCCCCGGTCCTGGCGCGAGCGTGGACATACGATTGGCGGCGATTTCATTTTGAACTGGACGGCGCAAAACGAGAAGCATTCGGACCCAAGCGCTGAAGGAATGAGGTATTTGCGGTCTACAATGACAGAGAAGAGACTGTCAGTTTGGCTGTACTCAGCATTGAATCAAAACGCACTGAAGCTGTTGATTAATACGTTTGTGAGGCGTTTTGCTGAACAAAATGGTAATCGCCGCATTCATCTGTAATAGACATGCCAACTTGATGCTCTGCTCACGGATGAGCATACAAAACTATTAAGATGATGACCTTACGTGTGTAAATATATTTTTTTCTTTGAGGGGGTCTGCCCCCAAAAAACTGTTTTAAGTCCTGAGAAAGTCAAATAAGACGGTGTGTAAAACTACACTGCCCAGACAAAAAAAAGTAACCACTTTGATTTAACTAGGCCAGTAGGTAAGGACATTCCACTGGATAATAACTGAAGTATAAAAGAATGCATGACTGAAGTGATGGACACCATGTTGAAGGCAAACAAAAAGAGGAAATAACAGGTCAAATCAAGCAAATCCCCCTCTCAGATTCCACAGCAACCAGAAGAACATAAATACTGGCTGGTGATTTGATTAATCAGCTTTGTGATGGAATAAAAAATGCACAGTGCATTTCCTTAGCTGTGGGTGAGTCCACTGACACCACTGACAATGCTCAGTTGCTGGTGTTTGTGAGTTGTTATGATGAGGCAAAGGGGGAGTTTGTTGAAGATGTGTTGGGCCTGACGAACCTCAGTGGACGCACAAGGGGGAATACATTTATAAAGCAATAATGGGAATGCTGAATGAAAGAGGGTGCAGCTGCCTTTATTCATAACTGTGCAGCTCTCACACTGCGACTCTGAGGGGTCAAGCACAGACACAATAACAATGAAAACTGCTGCATATACAGATTATTTTTGTTTTTGCAACCTCGTGTTAAGAATCTTGTTGCAATTGTTTAAAAGTTTGAATGACCGTAATAAACGGACCTTTGTCTTATTGAAACATTTACTTTGGACCTTTAAGATTTGTATTTGAGTACCCCTGATGTAGATGTTACAGAGAAGAGGCCCCAAGATGGAGCCTTGAGGTACCCCACATGTCATATTTGTCAACTCAGATGTGTATTTACCTATAGAAACAATGTTTTTTCTGTCCTTTAAGTAGGATTCAAACCAATTTAGAACTGTTTCCGAAAGTCCCACACAGTTTTCCAGTCGGTCGAGTAATATGTTGTGGTCAACAGTGTCAAACGCAGCACTGAGATCTAATAATACTAACACTGAAGTTCTGCCACTGTCTGTGTTTAAGTGGATGTCATTGAAGACCTTTACAAGAACAGTCTCAGTGCTGTGGTTTGGACGAAAGCCTGACTGGAACACATCGAAACAGTTATTTAAATGCAAGAAATTACTCAACTGTTGAAAAACAACTTTTTCAATGATTTTACTTAGAAATGGCAGGTTTGATATGGGCCTGAAATTGTTCATTACTGAAGCATCTAGATTATTCTTTTTTAAGAGCGGTTTAATGACTGCAGCTTTCAGGGTCTGTGGAACAATACCTGATTGAAGAGATTTGTTTACTATATGAAGTAGATCTGAGGCCATGCAACGAAAAACATCTTTGAAAAATCCTGTTGGAATAATATCAAGGCAGCAGGAGGAGGATTTCAGAAGTTGTATAATGTCCTCTAGGTTTTTATCATTAATCTGATGGAATTGTGTCATGGTGTTTGAATTGATATCAGGTGGACAAAGGAACAACACATTTGCTGTACCTGATGCAGAGGCACTGACTGCTTGTCTGATTTTCTGAATTTTGTCAGTGAAGAAGGAGGCAAAATCATTGCACGCCCTGGTGGATAGAAATTCAGAGGCTACTGACACTGGGGGGTTAGTTAGTCTGTCGACGGTAGCAAACAAGGCTTGTTTTTGGTAATGATGTCAGAGAAGAAAGACTGTTGTGCGTTTTTCAATTCCAAATTATAAAGGCCAAGTCTCTCTTTATATATTTCAAAGTGGACCTGGAGATTTGTTTTTCGCCACCTACGTTTAGCTTTTCTACACTCTCTTTTTTCTGCTCTCACAGTCATGGCCTTTCTCCATGGATATATTTTCTTCCCAGTCACTTCATTTACCTTAGTTGGAGCAATGGCATCTATAACATTTTTAATTTTTGAATTAAAATGATCTACTAGCTCATTTACTGAGATGTTAGCAGGGGCAAGTGTGGAAGAAAAATTCTGAGTAAACATTTCCCTAGTATTTTCAGTTAAATATCGCTTTGTAGTTACCTCTTTTTGAACATTTTTGTGAACAGAAATAGAGCTCTCAAAGAAAACACAAGAATGATCAGAGCTGCTGTAATTCAATGCAATCCCTCCCCATCGAGGCAAGCACTGTAATTCTCTCCGGTAGTCCACCAGCAGATGACAAACACCCACCTCTCCGCCTCTTCCAAGGGACGAGGGGACCGTGCGGCATAGTTTCAGTTAGATTTTCGCCAGTCAACATGTCCGTTAAAGTTGAAATCTTCCGGACAAAATAAGAAAAGTGCCGGTCAAAGGTCTTCTTTGTTATTTATTGAGCTTTAAAACAAATGAATAATGACTCTATATAATCACATTAAGAATAAAACACGGAGGACGGAGATCTCTTTTTCTCCCCCTCTTCTGACAGCCCAGCAGCTGATCTCAAAGCAAGCTCCCCTCTCCTGCAAGGGGGCGTGGTCAGCTGCATCTCATTTGCATTAAAGCTACATCACAGATTCAGCCCCTGCAAAAACAGGGCTGGAAAGAGAAAATAGAGCGAAATGAGGCATGGCTAAAATGCAGGATCTGTTTGGTATTTTGAAAAAAAAACTATATTTATATACTTTATAGGTATGGCCCTACAAAATATTGTTCAAATATAGCATGATAGTTCCACTTTAAACGAAACAATTAATGAATTAACATGCATATTAGCAGTATATTGGCCCTTTATTAGTCATTATAAAACACTTATTAATGCCTTATTCTACATGACCATATTCTACAAGTATAGCCATTAGTTGAGAGTTTTTCCTCAATAACCCTCTAATTAGTGCTTATTTATTGCAAGTAAGGAAGTTGTTGTACATTTGTTTTGGTATTAATATGCTCTGCTCAATATGGGCCTAATAAGACAGTAGTACCACAAGAATAGTAATTATCCCATAATAACACTTAACAAATATGATCTATTCTTATGTAACAAGACATGAAACTATAAGTGTTAATTAAGTCTAAACAACTCAAAATTAGGTATTTCTATCTAAGAATATGTTTTGGGGTATTGGCAGTTCAGCTACCAATAGCAAGGTGATATTGAACTGTATGTTTCATATTTGCACATTTATATTTTTGTAAAATGTATATTGAATTTTAGACAGGAAACCGGGTACAGGAAGTAGGAGAAAGTGAACTGAATAGCATGGCAGTAGACTGATACTAATTTCCCCTATGCAACCTAAAGAGTAAAAGGGTCAAGTCTGTCAGAAAGCAATGACGGTAAGTGTAAGTGTAAGCCTTAAGCCTCTTACACACCGAGCCAATTATCGGCGTCGATAGATGTCGGGCCGTCGATGAGCATTGTGTCGCCCTACTCAGATTGGTGTGTACTGTACCGTCCTGCACCGTTGTGTCTTTTCGGCTGTGCCGACACCTTCCGCTGCCGATTTGACATGTTGAATCGGGGGGCCGTCGGCCAAAGAAATTCTGATTGGCTGTTCAGCTTAGCGAATCAGTGCATGAGAAGAGAAACGGAAGTTAGGGAACCAAACAAACTATTAAGAAGGCAAATCTGAGATTTAATTTAACTCCAGCTCTCGTCACAGGTTCGGGAAAGCCCCATGAGCTTCTCGTTGTAGAGTGAAAATGGAACGCACACGCTATTTGTTGTTTGTTTATATCACGCAGTCTATTCCTCATCTCTCGGTGTATCACACGGTCTGTCTTCCGGTTGTTGCCTCTTTTGAATGACAAATACACACTACCGACGCCTGGTGATAAGGAGAGTTATTGCTACTCACGCATGCGCAGCTCGTACGTGCAACTTGGCCGTCGGCTGAAGTCTTTGCGGTGTGTTCCAGTGCGAAACATGACCAAGACGCAGGAGACGTGAGGCGATGTGAGCCGACGTTCCGTTGGGGTGTGTTCTTTGGTGTTCTTTGGTGTCAGTTTGGTGTGTAAGCGGTTTTACATAAACTCTGTTAAAAATCAGTTTTTATTAAGAAGTACAGACTGTATGTGTTCTCAGCCTTGGAGAAACTTGACATGTTTTGGTATGTGTCTGAACCTATCAATAGTGTTTTAATAAAACAGATATTTCAACGTGTGCTTACTTTGTTCATGTACTGTTGAGGTTCATTTCAGTAGTTGTGTGCTATAATGTATTTACAAAGTGTGAAGAGGAGGCAACTTTAGAATAGGGACCCGTTCAGGTCAATTAGAATCAAATTACTAGCTTATTGGTTATTGTGGTGGCGTTTTAATCCTTGTATACCATTTAATAGCCACCTCTATCGGGGTTGTGGGTTTTGATGCGCCTCTCTTTGTTTCCAAACAATTCAGCGGAGATCGTAGTTGAATCAGATGAGCTTTATTCACTGATCCACACGGTGCATACAGGAGGACACATTTCTTCGCTTCATAGTAACTCAAAAGTGTATCATTTTCCAAAGTAACAAAAAGAACACGGTCAAAAGACTTTTCCATTTCCCCCTCTATCACCCCCAGCTGTGTCCTATCAACCTACCATATATAGGCATAGCCATGCACGTGATACTGACGCACATATAACAAATAATAAGTGAGCCTTAAATTAATGCATTTTAAACCATAATGTGACTCACAAAAATAGCCAATAATTTACAGTATAATCTAATTTATATTATTATTAAGCCCAACATTCAGACAATAATAACAAAAGGTAAAATGGCTCTAACATACCAGCCCCTAATTGCTTATTACATAGCAATTACCAATAATAGTACATCAACAGAGTCATTTTAACAAAACATAACGTCCATCCGTAGCATATTTGTATACTTAAGTCCATAGTATATTGTATACTTTCAAGTCCATGTATATTGTATACTTTCAAGTCCATGTATATTGTATACTTTCAAGTCCATGTAAGACTAGTACTGGAGTGTGTAGGTCTAGTACTAATTGTCTGTAATGGTCTGCGTTCAAAAGGCAGCCTTTGATGGGGAGGGGGTAGGAGACCAAGAGTCTAGTCCTTTGGTCTAACAGTCAGAGGTGCACGTGACTGAAAGGCTAAGGCTTAGTAGGCTCAGTCTGTCGCCTCCAGGAGCAGACATAACTTAGTTATGGGTCTTTCGATCGTACTTGTCTTGGTTTTAACCAGGACACTCCTAACAAGTCCTTTTGAACCAGGAAGGGTCTTAACTACGCGTCCCAGGAGCCAAGTGTTCCTCGGTGCGTTCTCATCAATGATGACGACCAGGTCTCCGGGGGTGAAGTTTCTTTTGATAGTATTCCATTTGTGCCGTTCTTGCATCAAAGGAAGATATTCCCTGGTCCAGCGCTTCCAAAACAGGTCAGCAAGGTACTGCACCTGTTTCCATCTTCTCTGTGAGTACAGATCCTCTCTCTGAAAGAGTCCGGGGGGCAAGATTGGATTTGTTCTTAACTGAAGTAGGTGATTAGGTGTGAGGGGTTCAAGGTCGTTTGGGTCGTTTGTCACTGTTGTGATTGGCCTATCGTTCATTATTGCCTCAACCTCACACAAGGCTGTGTGCAGAGCATCATCATCCAATGTTTGTTCCTTCAGGACAGAATGGAGGATCTTTTTAACCAGTCGTATTAGCCTTTCCCACACTCCGCCATGGTGAGCTCCGGAGGGGGGATTGAATGTCCAATCAATTCCTTCTTTGAGTAGTGTTTGCTTGATTTTGTTGTTATCCAGTTGTTTTACAGACTCCTCCAGTTCCTTTTGTGTGCCGATGAAGTTGGTGCCTCGATCTGTTCTGATGCTCTTTATTGTGCCACGACGACAGATGAATCGACGAAGAGCGTTTATGCATGCAGCTGTATCCAAATGACTGGCAACTTCCAGGTGGACAGCACGGCTTACCAGGCAGGTAAAGATTACTCCCCATCTTTTGACATGAGCTCGGCCACGTTTCACCTCGATGGGTCCAAAATAGTCTATGCCTACATGAGTGAAAGGTGGAAGATCAGGTGTTATTCGATCAAGTGGGAGATCGGCCATTTTCTGCTCTCCAGCTCTAGCCTGTAGGCGTCTGCAAAACACACAGTTCTTTATGATCCTCCTTGCTGAAGAGTTAGCAGTGGATAGCCAGTAACGTTGATGGAGTTTGGAGAGCATGTGACCTCTTCCTGAGTGACCAACTTGATTATGGATGTGGCTTAATATCAACTTGGAGATATTAGAATGTTTCGGTAGAATCATTGGATGTTTGACCTCAGTTGGCATAGCCATCTTTCTAGTTCTTCCTCCAACTCTCAGAAGCCCGGCATCAATGATAGGGTCCAGCTTGTATAGGGAGCTTCCTCTATTGCACTGTTTTCCTTTTTCCAGCAAGGCAATTTCCTCTTTGAAATGCTGTCTCTGCTCGTGGCAAATAATGGCTTTTTCAGCATTTTCTGTGTCCTCTACTGAAAGTCTTAGTGCATTAGCTGTAGGCATATTGAGCAGAAGCATCTGATCCTTCAGTCTCTTTCCTTTATCCTGCCTTGCTCCAAGATCATTGGAGTCATCTTTTCTTTTTTCTCTCATCTGCAGGAGGATTGTCTTTAATTTCATTATCCATGCAACAGCTCTTTTTAGGTAATTCCATGAAGAATAATAGTCCAAGAGCTTACTTGTTGGAGTTTTTTCCATCTTACATGTGACAATGCTGGTGACAATCGCTTCTTTGCGTACTTCAGGGTCATCTGGAAGGAGAGAACCAAGTTCTTTTGGAATACTTGGCCATTGTGCTTCAGATTTCTTCAAGAATTCTGGACCCTGAAGCCATCCTTTTGAACTGTAAAAGGATTCAATGCTCAGTCCTCTTGAAGAGTCATCAGCGGGGTTGTTTTTGGTGTCTACAAACCGCCACTGGTTCACTTTTGTGAGGTTATGAATAACAGCAATCCGGTTTGCCACGAAAGTGTGGAACCTCTTAGTCCTGTTTCGAATATATTTCAGTACTGACTGGCTGTCAGTCCACAATACTGATTCCAAAAGCTCTCCTTGTAGCTCTGATCGAAGCATTTTGTCCATTCGTGCAGCCAATGTAGCAGCAGTGAGTTCCAACCTTGGAATTGTCATGACTTTTAGTGGGGTAACTCTTGATTTTCCCATCACAAAGGCTACGTGTACCTCCTCCATGTCATTGGTGAATCTCAGGTAACTTGCGGTACCGTATCCTTCTTCACTTGCATCACAAAAGGTGTGTAGCTGTGCAGTTTTCACTCTTCCAAAGTTCTTGGGTTTTACACACCTGTCAATTTGGAATCTTGCCAGCTGGTCTAAATCCTTGAGCCATTTCTGCCATGGTTTTGAGAGTTCCACCTGAATTTCTTCATCCCATCCATATTGGGCTTTACAGAGTAATCGAAGTATTTGCTTTGCCTTCAATATGAAAGGGGCGAGAAGACCAAGAGGATCGTACACAGAGCTGACAGTGGAAAGTATACTCCTTCTTGTAAGGGTTTTGTTGTTCACAGTCACACGGAAACTGAATATATCATTTTCAATGTCTCAGTACATCCCTAGTGCTCTTTCATGTGGCAGCTTATCCCTGTCCAGATCCAAGTTTTTCACCTGTTTAGCCTTGTCTTCATCAGGGATGGATTCTAGCACCACTCGACTATTACTTATCCATTTCGTCAGTTTGAATCCACCAAGGGAACACATTTCTCTGAGAGACCTAATAAGGCTTATAGCTTGATTTTCTCTTGCTAGCGACTTGAGGCAATCATCCACATAGAAATTTGATTTGATTGTTTCTGCCACTTCTCCATCAAATTTGCCACAGTTGTCCTCAGCTGTTCTTCGCAATGCAAAGTTTGCGCAGCTTGGAGAGGAAACAGCTCCGAAGAGATGGACCCTCATCCGGTATTCCTCCAGATTTGTGCTGGTTTCTCCTTCAGGCCACCACAGGAATCTCAGCAAGTTTATGTTCTCCTCGTTTACACGCACTTGGTGAAACATCCCCTCAATATCTGCCATAATGGCGATGGGCTCTTGACGGAACCTGAGTAGAACACCAATCAATGAGTTTGCCAAGTCAGGGCCCTGAAGGAGTACACTGTTGAGGGATTTGCCTTTATAGGATGATGCACAATTAAAGACCACACGGATCGTTTTTTTACGTTTATGATAGACACCATGATGGGGTATATACCACACTTTGCCGTTTTCCACATGTAGATCGTCCGATGGTACTTTCTCTGCATATCCTTTTTTGATAATGTCACTCATAAAGCCTTTATACTCAGCTGCATAGGTCTGATCCTTCTGGAATTTCCTTTTTAGTGACATTGCTCGTTGCTCTGCCATTTGGCGGTTGTTTGGCATGATAATGTGTGGATTATCTAGAGGAAGAGGTAAATTGTAGTGGCCATCTTTAAGAGAAACCGAGCTTGATACAATCTGCATGAACTTTCGGTCATCAGCTGACATTTGTCTTTCCTCTTCATACTCTTTCTCTGGAAAGTCGTTAATATATTGTCTTTCAATTAGCTTCTCAAGGTGAACAATTGAGATCCTGTTCACTAATGCCACAGGGGTTTCATCATCCAGATCTGTGGAAGCATTAAGTGGACCATTAACGACCCATCCTAACAGTGTTTTCACTGCATATGGGCCATTTCCTTGGCTATTTATAACTCTCCATGGTTCCATAGCCTTTGGAGTATTTACTCCAATAAGAAGTCCCACGTCAGCATCTATTTCTTTTATTTGGATGTCCTGCAGATAAGGCCATTTCTTGAGGTCCGCCCGGGTGAGAATGTTTCTTTTGGTAACAGGGATTTTGTTCTGAGTGTAAACCTTGGGCAAGTTTATATATGTGCCATCTTCCATATGTCCCACTTCTAGACCTGTTACCTCAAAACTCCTGACTGTTTTCTCTGTTCCCATCGTTTGAAGAAGGACTTCAGTTCTCCGTCCTCTAGCACCAAGCCGCCTCATGAGCCCTTCTGTGCAAAATGTGTCGGTACTACCAGGGTCCAGGAATGCACAGGTCAGTATGCTTTTATTTCCATGGCAGAGTTTCACCTTCACTGGCACTATGGCAAGTATGCTGTCTTTACCAGCCCCGATTCCTTCACCTTCTCCTACTGAAACAAGAGCACTGCTGATGGATGTCTCATCAGGCCTTGCTCCCCCACTCTGCTGCTCTGCCTTACCATGTTTAAAGTTCTCAGTTTCAGGCTTTGAAGATCTTTTAATGTGCAGAATAGTTGGGTGCTTAGCATGACAGATTTGACAGGTCATTCTCCTGTTACAGTTCCTGCTCAAGTGCCCCACCTTCAGGCAGCCAAAGCATAGTCCCTTCTCTTTCAGAAACTCAATTTTAGCTTCATGAGATACTGAATGTATTTTATGGCATTCAGCTAAAGGATGTTTACTTGTACAAAAAGTACATGAGGTGTCATTGTTAGTGGAGGAAATGTAGCTTTTAACAGGATATTTGTCTTCTTTGAGTTTCTCTGCACGCCTGTCTGACACTTTAGCCACTGTGGTTGCAAAACTGCTCCCTTTGCTGTTATTTCGATATGGATCAACAAGAGTCTTGGTCTTGAAAGCCGCCTTTGTACTGTTAAGTTGATCGGGAATGTCACCAAAGAGAGGGTCTTGAAGTATTCTAGCTTGTCTTTCAATAAATACAACAAGGTCAGGTAATCTTGCTCTTTCATGGCTCCGCTCCAGAATATCACAAGCTGCTGTTCTCCACTTCTCCCTTAGTTTGTAAGGTAGCTTTGAAAGAATGAGCCGTCGGTTGGATGGCAGGTCCAGCTCCTCCATGTTCTGCAGATCCCTCATTGCATTACAGCAGCCTCTCAGAAAAAGTGCATAACAGTGCAGTGACTTTCCATCCTCTGCCTTTATAGTGTTCCAGTTGAGAGCTTTTCCCATATATGCGCTTGCTATCTTGAGCTCATCTCCAAAATGCACTTTTAGCAGTCTCTTAGCTTCAGCAAAGCCACTATTAGCATCCATGTGAAGGCAGCTTCTCACCAGTTCCCTGCAGGATCCCGAAGTATATTGTTCCAGGTAATATAATCGATCCTGGTTACTGGTGGTTTTCTCCTCAATGCTATGTTGAAATGCCCTCACAAATATTTGATAATTCAGGGGATTGCCATCAAAGACTGGGATTTCCCTAGTGGGCAGTGATGCTTGTTTTTGTTGAAGTACAAGTAAATTAACAATGTCATTTTGTCTTTGCATCACAGTCAGGAAATTGTCATTAGTATTTGTCCCTGTAATTCCTGCATCTCTAGCTGTTTGTTGAGAGCTTTGATTTGCATTATCAATATTTTCTGGTGGTCTTGGTTGTTGGTGTATAAGCCTTTGAAGTGGTGTCTTGGGAATGGATCCGAACTCAGCAAAGGAAATTGGAGACGGCTCTGCATCCATTGACATATGTGTTTTTAATCTGTAGTCCTTTAAATAGTCATTCATGCCATCATATTTTCCTTGTGTTGGATTTTGTGAACCAGTCTCAAAGTGCTCCAGGACTTTCATTTTTGCATCAGATTCAGCTAGGCTGACTTCCATTTATATCCGTTGGGATCTAGCTTGCAGTTGAGCCTTTTCCATTTCAAGTGCATGCTTTTCCTTTAATCCTGCTGCCCGGGCAAGGAGGGCAGCTCTTTCTGTGGCCATTTTGAGGTGGATTGAAGAAGCAGAAGAAGTTGCTGATCCTGCTTTTGAGCTCCTCCTGGTTGATGCATTGGAAACACTGTCATGGGGTTCAATCAGTATCTGAGGATCCATTTGAGAGCTTTTCCACGTTTCCACATCCTTAAGGAAATTCGTGAATGCAGACATTTTTGGTTCATACCAATCTATTCTCTCAGTTTCCCTTATTTCCTCAGATAAAAGCATTTGAACAATTCCATGACATTCCATAAATTCATTGAGTAACATCTTGAACGTTGCAACAGCTTCATCCACCTTTTCCACATCTCCACCTCGCACCAGTAATGGGTTAATTTCATTCATTCTGCGGGTGCATGCTCCAAGTTTTCCTCTTCGCGATTGGCTGAGAGTTGTATATCTCTCCTCTGCCGCGGCAACCAGTAGCGTGGGGTGGGGAAAAATGTAGGGGAAGCCAATGTTTTTGGGTCGGGGGGGGGGGGGGGGTGGTCAATAACGTAACCAGATGAGTGATTACAGCGCCCGGTAACATTTTACACACATTTGTATCATACAGATGCAGGACTTACACACGCCTGTTATCTAAGCGACAGGTCCGCATGCACTCTCCAGCTGAAACTCTCTCGTCTTATTAATTTAAGCATTTTCTTATTAATTTAAGCATTTTCTTATTAATTTATGCCAACCTCCACCCACCAATGCAATACCAGCCGCTCAATGCGCAGTGCAGATTCGGTAATTAATAAATAAGAAGCATTCATTCACAAACTAAATCAGGAGACCTTTAAAGTTTTACGTTCACATCAAAGTATCAGTATGCGTTGTGTTGATAATGGACGAGACCCGCCGAGTCAGCGTAAAGTTGAGACGATCTCTGTTTAATGTCTGAATCTGATAACAGATAAAATGATCAGTTTTACATACATTTCCCTCAGTGACTCCTCTCATTGCTTGGAACGTTTACAAAAAGGGAAGAGGAAACGTGAGGGACACAATATATACAAAAAGTAAAATCACAAAGAAAGGAAATTAAAGTCCTCACAACAATAAACTCCTGAGCACAGCTCTCCGACCTTGCCAGGTATTTAACATTCAATAAAATGAAGAACACAGAATACAATAATATAAAACACAGAATGTGTGTGATTATACAAAATTAAATTAAATAAACCCCACTGCATATTTACATCTGTTACACTAACACACACTGCAAGTGCAGCAACAGTCCTCGTCTCTGTAATTAGTTCAGTCCGTAGTCCAAAAGTAACACAAAAATATAAACAATCTCATCTATTCAGGTGATCGGGCCCTATATGGCATGCTATCTGCGGTGCTGATTTTCGGATAGCAGCACCCTGTGCTAATTAAACAACTGCAATAAAACAACTACTTCAGACTGAACACCTGCAGCTAAATCCAGGCAAGCAATGCACAATAACCAACAGAACCACATCAGAAATTGCACACATAGCTACACGGGCAGTTCAGGCAACAGGTATGCACAGAGAGAAAGGGGTGTGCATTTCACTCACCCTATTTGAAGAGGAAGGCCATTCTCCTGTCTTTCATGGTAACGAAGTGGTCAATAACAATGTCATAGAACTTCCCAGCGGCCTTTAGGTCCTCCACAACAACAGAGTCAATGGATATTGTGGCTAGGTTGACAAGTCTGTCCTGTCCACACGTGTTCCTCAGATACGTTTTGATCCTTTTTAGACAGGAAAAGGAGCGCTCTGCTGATGTGCTGGTGGCTGGTATCGTGAGCATGAGCTGGAGCAGCTTGTAGACCTCGGAGAGTGTGCCCTGTAGGTCATCCTCAATAAGAAGCTGTATCAGCTCTCCTGGTGGCTTGTGAAACAACCTGTTGTTGTACAGCGTGTGCAGCTCATTCCTTAACTTCTGCTCATCAAAGAATGGATACGTGTTGATCAGCTGAGCCAGCTCACTGCTGGGAAATGCATCAGGGTTGCAGAACGATGTGAATGATGTGTGTTCCAGTATCCGAAAAAAGTGCAGGTGCTCCATATCTGCAAATCTTTGGGTCATGTGCAACACTATGCCGTCAACAATCTGGAAGTAAAGACGCCGGAAAGACACAACCGTTTCCTCGTCTCCTTCTTGGTGCTGGTTAAACCCTTGCTCCAGGTCGTCCCAGCCGCGGCGACGTCGTTTACGTCGGGGCACAGGATCGCCGACTGCTTTGACCGTGTCATCGTAAATGCGACTGAATGTCTCATCTGTTCTTGTGGCTTTGAGAGCGCTGAGAGTGCTCATGATCCGATCCTGGCATTTTTTTATGTCCGCCGTCTTGCTTTGCAGAACCTGGAAGAGTGGTTCTGTGAGGCCGAAAATGGACTGAAAGACCCCGAGCAGGAAGGTGAAGTCAAAATCCTCAAGTTTTTGCTTCAAGGAAGCACTCTGTGCAATGGTCTCTTTGTCCCATCCCGGCTCTGTCATTATCCTGTCAAAAGCGATACAGAGCGACCCGCGTCCTTCATGGATGGCGTGTACTGCGCGGCTTTTAAAATTCCACCTCACAGCAGAACCCCCTGGTACACGCACAGCTCGATCAACTTCAGACAGTAGTGCTGATCTCTTACATGAACGTGAGAAAAAATTGTGGAAGGCATCGAGATTGGCAAAAAACAGTTTGGCTGCTTGGATGTTGTTTGTGCCTTGTG